TTTGATTTCTATTTTCAGTAGCTTATAGTTTTCCTTGTAGAGGTCTTTCACTTCCTTTGTTAAGTTTCTTCTTAGGTATTTTTTTCAGGTTGAGGTAAATGCACTTACTTTCCTATATTCTTTCTCAGTCTGTTATTGGTATATAAAAGGCTACTAATTTTTGTAAATTGATTTTGTATCTTGCTACTTTGCTGAAGGTGTTTATGATGCCTAGATTTTTTGTGTGTGTGAGCAGGAAGGCAAAACAGGTCCTATCTGTGATTTTGGTACTAGTGGGAGGGTGGGAGGATATTAGGAAAGGGTATAAGAGGCTGAATGTGGTAGAAATATTATATATTCATGCATGTAAGTGGAAAAATGAGAACTGTTGAAACTACTCCAGGAACTGGGGAGGGAGAAGAATGAAGGAGTGTGTGAATTCAACTATGACATATGAACTTTTGTAAATGTCACAATGTATCCCTAATACATCAATGATATGATAATAAAATAATTAAAAAGAAAAAAACCACAATGTCAGAGTTTAGCTGAGGAAATTTTGAAAATCAGAAAGTAAAACTATGCAGAAAACCACCTGAAACTTATTAAAACATGGGAATGTTTCAACAAATATCTATCCATGATTTCAGGCTTTATGCTGGGCTGTCAAGCTCTTTAATCCAGACTTTGTGTTTCTTACTCTTATGCATATCCTTAAATAGACTCTATGACTTCTTTTCCCAGCATCATTGGTAGTGTATTGCAGGAGAGGCAGTAGGAGCAAAAACATTAATTTGGATTCAGGTGAGAATTTTGGTCAACAGTCATTAAACTGATGGAGACTAGAGCTTCACTGTGGCAAGAACAGAGATGGCAACTTGAAATGTGGGAAAACATGGAGATAAATACTATTTGAGCTGTCTATAAATTTCTTGAATAAATTTAAATTGACAATAAAAATTTTGGTTAACTATTCGATATATAAGAATCAGGATGGTAGGTGGTGATAATACAATGCAGAAAATGGCTTTAAGTCTATACCTAAAAATCACTGAAGATGAGTTGTAACAGGAAAAACAAACATAAACATCACATACTATGTGGATCATTAACATGCTTCCTTAATAAAATTAACATTTGGATAAGATTACTAGTTATTGGTAGATAAGAAAGTAGTAGAAACCCAATTCTTAGAGGCTTGTGCAGGATTGGTTTGGGAGGTGGGCAAATGAATGAAGAAGAAAGGTAAATAATGGTATGATGAGACACCAGTTAGTTTCAGTGGGTTGGAAGTGGCTTTAGCAATGAAAGCAGATTATGATTGAACATCTGGACTACTTGGTAGATGGAAATTCTGAGAGTGAAATGCATCTCTTCTGCTGGGTTTTACATTGTTGGTATATGAATTTTTGTAAAATCAATTAGGTAAAAGGAATTCTACAAGAGTAGTATAAATAGACAAGATATGCTGCATTTCATAAAAGGAAGATTCCATTGGTGACAGTGAGACAGATCAGAGGGACTCACTTCTCCCTGGGGCACCTACAGCAGGAGTTATGTGTTATTAAGCATTGTTAAATACTATTAAGTTCTGTTAAATATTACTAGAATTATTGGTTGTCTGCTGAACTTTAAGTCTTTATTGTAAACACCATTTTGATAATTTCTTTGAATGATTAAAAGTGTCATGGTGTGGGGGTGGGGTGCATTTGGTAGGCCCCTTCTCCTAGGCCTGGTAGTCTTGAGCAGGGAACTGTCAGCCATGCAGCCCCTTTACTAGCAACTGGCCAGACTTTGTTCATGGGCACTTGCAATCACTCTGAGGACACTCCAGCTATGACTCTGGCCAAAGAGTTGTAGTCATGGTCCGGTCATGACCATTCCAGACAGCCTGCACCAGCCTTGGAAAGGAGCACTCTATGGAAGATAAGCCTCAGTAAACTCTGAAGAACTTTGAAGTCATTTGCACCCAAGCCAGAGGGGAAGCACATCCCAGGTGACCCAGCAGAAGGCCTGTGATTGGTGCAAGCACAGTCCTTCATACTGTGATTGGTGCAAACACAATCGGTACAAACATTCATTTGTATGAAGGATTGCACCACGATTAGTGCGAACACTCTTGCATACCCACCTTCATTTCATAAAACCAGGCTCTTCAGCTAAATTTTTGAGTCTGGCAGAAGATAACCCCCTGTGCTGCCCCCAGGCCTGCTTTAAAAGACTTCTCTGGAGTGATCCGTTCTTGCTTACTTTTGATCTTTGCATTACTGAATCAGACTGAGCTGCTGACACAAATAGGATGCAACAGAAGTACCAGAGAAGTGGAAGCAGTGGTGTAGGTGGCTGTAGTGGTAGTGGCAGCAACAGTAGTGGTGAGAGTGCAGCTGAAGTGTTCCATAGAGTGGCAGGGGGAATAAATTATAGGAACATAGTCAATGGAGACAAGAAGAAATGGCAAATGTATAGAGAAGATGAGAGAGGAAAACTTCAGGCCCTGGTCATTGGAAGAGTTCCAGAGAGCTACCAAGGCTTTAAGGTCAGAGAGTCCTGACATTCTAGGTCCAAGACATCACACTGCACACTGTAGGAAACCAGGATCCCACCCCTCAAAGCCCACCCATAAGCTGTAACACCAGAAGGCCCTATCTGCCACTGCCTATTGCTTCATTTAGGTGCTGATGAAAGCTGAAGATGACTCTGTGTGTAAGGATTTGGGCTGCTGATGGTTAAGGCCCAGAGCAACAGGCCTTCAACCTGAGTACCTAGAGCCTAAGTCCCTGATTCTAAAGCCTAGAGTGATAGTCCTTAGTTCTCAGGACATGGAGATGCAAATCTCTGGGTCTGCCTGCACATCCCCAACTCTTGGGCACTCGTGGGTCCAGGTCTTCCAACACAGGAGGTGTTACTCCTTGCCTACTTCCAGTTTCACCTGGGTAGAGCAAAAGAACCCCAGCCAGCTGATTGGTAACAATAGGAGCATGAGTGTAGAGAAAAGACATTGAAGAACTTAGAATCAAGATTAAAGAAAACTGAAGGAGTATACAGGTGGTCAATCTGACATCTTTCATTTCTGCATTTCCTTCTGTGGGAAATGGTGTTTGATCAGCGTGTTGTGGATTCCTTAGAGCAAATTTCATTTCCACGGTTGTTTTTATTTGTTTATGTGTATGTTTTTCTCCCAAATAGAGCTTTAGTTCTTAATCTCAGTCCATTGAGGCTCTCGTTACTTTATGATCTCATGAGCCCTGTGAATACTTTTCCAAGCCCCATAAAAACAGGTATTGTGTGAAACATTCCATGCACGTTTAAGAGTCTTGAAGTGTATCTTTGCACCAGCCATTCTGCACAAAGTGATGATCCAGATCATGGGAGTAACAGGTCTGTAGCATCCGGTTATATTTTCCCCGTGTGTACCACGGGGAATCTGCATCTTATGTTATCCAAATTTATTAATATTTTACTTAAGAGCAGCACAATGCATCCGTCTTGTAGCCTGGCACTGTGCTACTAATGGATTTCTCACTTTCACAGATATATGCTAGTACATTATTTATTTTTTATTTATGTACTGGGATTTGAATTCAGGGACTAGTGCTTGCCAGGCAGGAGTGCTACCATTTCAGCCATGCCTCCAGACCTTTGTTTTTTTTTGCTTTAGGTATTTTCTGACTAGTTTCTTACATTTACTCCCAGGCCAGCCCGCACTGAAATCCTCCCAGTTGTGCTTCCCTGTGTGGCTGGGATGACAGGCATGGACCACCATGCCTATCCATTAGTTGAGATGAGATCTTGCAATTTGTTTAGGCTGTCCTCATGCTGTGATCCTCCTGATCTCTGCCTCCCCTAGTACCTGGGATTTCAGGCATGAGCTACTGTGCCTGGTGCTAATGCATTTTTATTACTGAGATAGTTTGGGATTTGCACTGTATGACTTACATATATGTATTTTATCTGATATAAATCCATTTGCAACTATTGGGAGTTGGTTATGAATCATAAAATGTCATGAATTTTGATGCTTGACCTGTGCAGCTATACTACCTTCCCCAACATTTTCTTCTCAGGGTTCTTTGATTTCCTTCACTTCTGAAGGCACTTTGTTTTGCCTCCAGTCTTCCCCAATTCTAGCTGCTATTTTTCCAGTTAGTTTGATTTCCTTCTAATTTTATGTGACCAGAGGTATTGAAACAATGTTGTTTCTTATGAGAGTAATCAAATATAAACACCTTTGAGTAACATCCATCTGTCAACCCAATGTACTCTACCTTCCAATTCCAGTACTGTTTCTTTTATTGAATGAAGGTACCCATTTTAGTTGATTTTAATACTTTTGAAGGAAAGGTAATGTTGTAACACTTTGAATCTCATAGGATTGGAGAAAGAGAAGAAAAGAAAGTGTATCTGGCATGGAAGCACATATTAAGATACATGAGAAAACAGTAAATGTGAGTATTTTTATGTATCTCTCATTAATATGACTCAATGATTTTTCATTTGAAATAAAGTAAAACTATTCATATTTATTCCAAATGTATGCATAATTCAAGAATGGCTCATCAAAACAGAATGTATGATCACCATTCTAATAAGATTCATTGTTTTTAATATTTCTTGTAGAAATGTTCACCCATGTACTTTTATTTAACGATATCTTGTGTCCTTCCTCTGGTCTTATGAATTATCAACATCTAGCCATGACATTTTTTAACAGCCATAATCTGACTTCCTCAGCAAAATTAAATAGCATGTCCAATGCTCTATACTGATTCATGTCTCAGGACAAATGGTAATCCATTTCATCCCACACCTTGCTCTTTTTCCTCCCCTCTGTCCTATTCATAATTTACCTACCCCTATTTAGGCCATTTTTTTCTTTATTCTTTTAGTTCTGCTGCTCTGAAGAATTGACATTGTAGAAGACAGATCACTAAAGGTCAGGGCTGCATATAAACAAGAGTAAGGGAGGAGACAGGCCAACATTGCCTCTTGTTCTCCTCTCCTTTGCTCTCTCATAGCCTACGATGGCTCTGGGTGAGGCTCTGGTGCACGTGAGAGTCACTTTCCTACAGCTTGGGCTGGATGTATTACTGTTTTCTGGATGGTCCCATTCTGTACCTGCTCAATACCACAGCCCCCCAGAAGTGGTGATACCCTTAAGGTTAACTGGCACTAGTAGAGGCATGAAGACTCCAGACTGGCTCTCCTATAGCCTCCACTTTGGGGGACAGAGACATTTTGTCCACATGAAGGCCAAGAAGCTTTTGATATCCAGACACCTCTCTGTGTTCACCTACACAGACCAGGGCGCTCTTCTCGAGGACCAGCCTTATGTGCAAAATGACTGCTACTATCATGGTTATGTGGAAGGGGACCCACAATCCCTGGTTGCTCTTAGCACCTGTTTTGGGGGCTTTCAAGGAACACTACAGATAAATGATATGCTTTATGAAATCACACCCAAGAGCCTTTCTGACACATTTGAACATCTGGTTTATAAGATGGACACTGATGAGACAGAAACCCACCCCAGAAGATGTGCATTAACGGAAGAAGAAATAGCACGACAACTGAAGCTTCAAGGGCGTGATAAATCCATTTCGATGCAAAGTGGTTATGAGGGCTGGTGGACCCACAGATATTTTCTTGAACTGGCGTTGGTTGTAGACCATAATCGATTCCTTCACCGGGAAAGTAATACCTCAAATGTCATACGGGAAGTATTTCTCATTCTCAACAGAGTTAGTTCCCTTTTAATTTCACTGGATGTTGATGTGACATTACTTGGACTTGAGATCTGGAATGATAAAAACCCTATGCCAGTAAATAATATAGGAGACCTCCTGAGAGAATTTTGCTCTTGGAGGCATAAGAGCCTTAATTCTCGTATAAAGAGTGACCTTGCACATCTTTTTGTACAACATCATTATGGTATATATCTTGGCTTGGCCTATGTTGGAAGTGTATGTTCTTCTCATTATGGTTGTGGAGTTGATCGCATCTTAGGAGAGAATGTGAATAGCTTTGGACATACTATCGCACATGAGATAGGTCATAATTTGGGCATGGCGCATGATGAAAGTGAATGTACATGTGGGAAAGGAGGCTGCATAATGGCTCCTGTAGAAAATAACTCCAACAAATTCAGCAACTGCAGTTATGCCTATTTGATAAAAACTATTGGAAAGACTCACTGTATGAACATGCCACCAAATCCTTTTATGAAATATACATGGGAACACTGTGGGAATGGTGTAGTTGAAGATGGAGAGGAGTGTGACTGTGGATCCTTTGAACTGTGTAAAAACGATCCATGTTGTCAGCTAGGCTGCACTCTGAAGTCTGGTGCCCACTGTGCTTCTGGGCTTTGTTGCAAAGATTGCCAATTCATGCCATCAGGCACAGTGTGTAGAGAAAAGGGCAACGCATGTGATCTTCCAGAATGGTGTAATGGAACATCACCCAACTGTCCAGAAGATGTGTACCTGCAAGATGGGATCCCTTGCCTGGGCAGTGGCTACTGCTATGAAAAGAGATGTAATAACCGTAATGAGCAGTGCAGGCAGACTTTTGGCATTAATGCCAGGAGTGCACCTCATAGTTGCTACAAGGAACTAAACACTCGTGGTGACCGTTTTGGTAACTGTGGTATCACTAGCAATACATACATTAGGTGTAATCGCTCAGATATCCTCTGTGGGAGAATTCAGTGTGAGAATGTGACAGGAATTCCTTTTCTAAGAGAACATTCTACTGTGCATCAGACTCACTTGAATGGTGTCACCTGCTGGGGTACTGACTATCATCGGGGGTTGACCATTCCTGATATTGGTGAAGTGAAAGACGGCACAGAATGTGGTCGAGCACATTTGTGCATAAGCAGGAAGTGTGTCCATATGTCAAATTTGCAAAAAAAATGTTGGCCCACAAGTTGCAATATGAAAGGGGTCTGCAACAATAAACATCACTGTCATTGTAACATTGAGTGGGCCCCCCCAAACTGCCTGATGAACGGCTCTGGAGGTAGTATTGATAGTGGGCCACCTCCAGTAAGAAAGGTTGAAGTTGTAAAAAAGGAAATGGAAAAGATTTACTTGATATGGATACTTCTAGTTTCTTTTTGTGGTTTGTCACTCTTTTTGCTCACTATCTTCTGGGTGAGGTGCATATTACCACCCAAGAAAAGAGAACAAAATGTTGAAACTTCACCTGAGAAAGAAGAGCTCAATATTCAAACTTCACCTAAGACTGAAGAGCTCAAGGTTCAAACTTCACCTGAGGAAAAAAAGCAAAATTTTCCCATTTCAGGAAATGATCCCAAGCCTTAATGAAAATTTCCATGTATTAATTTTTAGTGTTCTAGCAGAAGAAATGTTATTGTGGATGTCAGAAACCACTGACCTAAAGTCTTGGTGTTCCTTACTGTTTCAGGATCACAAATATTCACCATTAAAAAAAACAGTAAATCTTAACATATTCCTGCTTGTCATTACTTTAAGCCACTAAATGGTTATTTTTATGGAATTCTTGTCTTTTAGTTTCCTAAGTGAAGGCCTAACCTCTGGATTTGTATGTCTGTATTTCTGTGTGTGTGTTTTCACTTGGTGCCTATGATTCCAAACCACCTTCCCCTTTTACTCTGCTTTGCCACATGGAGAGAGGGAACCTATGAATCCCATTTCCTCTTTGCCAGTCTTCCCTACAGTTTTGTCCCATAGGGAGTTAGAAGAAGACCTGGATAATGAGAGAACAGTGTAGTTGTGTTCCCATCAGTGTGGACTCGGTAGCAGCTCTTTCCGTGGTGGCAGCAGTGGGTTTCAGTCTCACATTGATATACATGTAAAATTAGTAAGTCTGGAGAAGCAACGTTGTTATTTCCACAGACACAGCACAACTACCAAAGTACTTACCCCAGAGTTCTGAGTCCAAGGTCTCTGAGTTCTATTCCAAATCCCAGAGGTTCTAGCACCAAGCCTACTGTACCTAGAGGTTGAGAGTCCTAAAACCATGTCATGTATTCCAAAACTCTGGATTTGAATATCCCCAACCTCTTCCCTATGATATCTACTCCAGTAGTGACAGGTACACCTTCTAATTAGTAACTTGTGGTCATCTCAGATGGGTGGTTCCGCATTTTGTGACTGACATCTGATTGATACAAAACTTACCTAAGTACAATGGAGAATACAGAAGGAGTCAGACATCAGATTTTTTTTCATTTCTATTAGCATATATTCATTGTATAGTGGAGATTTGTTGTGTCAATTCTGAATAGCCCTACATTGTGCATTGGTTAGATTGCCCTCACCCGTCCCCCCTCACCCACCCACTTAAAGCAATTACAAGAGGTTTCATCATTGTATTTTCTGTATGTATATAAAGTCCATCAACCCTATATCTGCACCTTCATCTCCTCCATTTACCCTCCCCCTTCTGTACCTATTTTACAGTCCTGTCTTTCATTATTAATTCCAAAGTCAATGTTCAAAGGGGTTTCTCAATGTATTCCAGCTTTGAATATATTTTACTTTTGTCAGTTCAACCTCCACTGTTACTCTCCTTCACCACTTTCTTCCCAACACCAATTTTTTGGCAGCTTTTAGTACATATGTCCTCTGCCTGCACAGATGGGAAGTACTTTAATATTGTTGACTCTCTATCACTCTTTTTTCCTTTCCCTCCTCCTCTGAGTTCCATAGTGTATTTCCACTATTGCCAACATATTCTACCTGTAGATGTATATATGATTATTTTGTTTTTGTGCATACATTTCTTTTGGATCTACCTTTTACATATGAGAGAAAACATGCAACCTTTATCTTTCTGAACCTGGCTTAATTCACTTAACATGATATCATCCAATTCCATCCATTTAACTTCAAAGCATGTAGTTTCATTCTTTCTTATGGCTGAATAAAACTTCATTGTATACCACCACTTCTTAATCCATTCATCAGTTGTAGGGCATCACAATAACTTGGCTATTGTGAACAGTGCTGCAATGAACATCAGTGTGCAAGTATCTCTATCGTATCCTGACTTACATTCCTTTAGGTATATACCCAGAAGTGGTATCACTGAATCACATGGCAGTTCAATTTTTAGTTTTCTAAGGAATAATCTCCATACTGCTTTCTTTAATAGTTGTACTAATTTACATTACCATGAATAGTGTATAAGTGTTCCTGTTTTGCTACATTTTTGCCAACATTTGTTGTTGGTTTTGTTCTTGAAGATAGCCATTTTAACTGGGGTGAGATGAAATCTTAGTGTAGCTTGGATTTGCATTTCTTTAATGGCCAGGAAAGTTGAACACTTCTTCACTTATTGACCATCTGTATCTCTTTCTTTGAAAATTACCTATTGAATTCATGTGTCCATTTCTTCATTGGATTTTTATTCTTTCGGGGTTGAGGGTTTTTTTTTTTGTAGCTCCTTGTATATTCTGGATATTTGTCCCTTATTGAATGAATAGATAGCAAAGATTTTTACCCCATTCTGCAGGCCATCTCTTGAATCTATTAACTGTTTCTTTTTCTGTGCAGAAGCTTTTTCATTTGATGCAGTTCTATTTGTTCATTCTTCCTCTTAATTGCTGAGCCATTGGAGCTCTATTTAGGAAGTCATTGCCTATGCCTATTTGTTCCACTGTATTTCCCACTGTGTTTCCTGTAGTTGTTTCAAAGTTTCAGGCCTTATATTAAGGTCTTTGATCCATTTTGAGCTGATATTAGTACAAGGTGAAAGGCAGGAGTCTAGTTTCAGTCTTCTACATGTAACTCTCCGGTTTTCCCAACAACATTTGTTGAAGAGGCTGTCTTTTTTTCATCATGTATTTTTGGGCTCCTTTGTCAAAAACCAGTTGGCTATATAGCTGTGTGGATTTATAGCCGGGTGTTCTATTCTATTGTTAGTTTTTGTGTCTTTGTGTCAATATCATGCTGTTTGTATTGTTATGGCTTTATAGTATAGTCTGAAAGTAGATATCATGATACCTCCAGCACTGGGCTTTTTGTTCAGAATTCCTTTGGATATTTGAAATCTTTTATGTTTCCATATGAACTTTATAATTGATTTTTCTATCTCTGTGAAGAATGTCCTTTGAATTTTGATAGGGATTTCAGTGAACATGTAAATTGCTTTTGACAATATAGCCATTTTCACAATATTGATTCTGCTGATCCATAAGCATGGGAGAAGCATTTTCATCTTCTGAAGTCTATTTCTTTCCTCAATGATTTATAGTTTTCATTGAAAATATCTTTGTTTCCTTTGTTAAATTTGTTTCTAGGTACTTTTTGAGGCTATTATTGTAAATGGGATTGGGTCCCTGATTTCTTTCTCAGTCTGTTCATTGTTGGAATACAGAAAAGCTACTGATTTCTGTATATTAATTTTGTATCTTGGATAGCTTTACTTCTCCCTTCCCTATTTGAATTCCTTTTATTTCTTGTTCCTGTCTTATTGCTTTGGCTAGGAATTGCAAAACTATATTGAATAAGAGTAGGGAAAGTGGACATCCTGATGAACTTAAGGTACATCATTTAGTGGAAATGGTTTCAGTTTTTCTCTGTCTAGTATAATGCTGGTGATAGGTTTGTCATATATAGCCTTTATTATGTTGAAGAATGTTCCTTCTATTTGTAGTTTCTTCAGTGCTCTTATCATGAAATGGTGCTGAATTTTGTCAAAGGCATTTTCTGCATCTATTGTGATGATCATATGATTTTTGTCCTTTTTACATGCTGTATTGCATTTATAGATCTGTGTATATTGACCCATCCTTCCATCCCTGGAACAAAACTGACTTGATCATGGTATGGTCTTTCTGATGTGTTGCTGAATTTGATTTGCTAGTATTTTGCTGAGAATTTTTGTGCCTGTATTCATTAAAGATATTGGTCTATAATTGCCTTTTTGTTGCATTTTTATTGGTTTTTGGAATGAGTGTAATACTGGCTTCATAGGATGAGTTTGATAGTGTTCCTTCCCTTTCTATTTACTGGAAATTTTTGAGGAGTATTGCTATTAGATCTTCTTTAAAGGTCTGGTAGAATTAAGCTGTGAATCCATCAGGTCCTGGATTCTTCTTTATTGGGAGACTATTGTTTCGTCAATCTCATTGCTAGTTGTAGATCTATTTAGGTGGTTAATATATTCTTGGTTCAATTTTAGTTGGTTAAGTGCATCTAGAAGTTTCTCCATTTCTTCTAGATTTTCCAGTTTACTTCACTATATGTTTTCAAAGTATTCCCTAATGATCCTCTGGATTTCATTAGTATCCCCTTTTTTCATCTTTGATCTTATTAATTTGGGTCTTTCCCTCCTCTGTCTTGTCAGGTTGGCTAAGGGTTTATCGCTCTTATTAATTTTTTTGAAGAACCAACTTTCTGTTTCATTGATTCTTTACATAGATTTTTTTTTTTGGTGTTGATCTCATTGATCTTGGCCGTGATCTTTATTCTTTCTCTCCATCTGCTAGTCTTGGGTTTGCTTTGTTCTTGTTTTTCTAGAAGCTTAAGGTTCATCATTAGCCTACTTGAGATGTCTCTTTTTTTCTTAACATATGACCTCATCGCTGTAAACTTTCCTCCTAGCTCAAATTTTGCTGTGGCCCACAGGTTCTGATTGGTTGTATTTTCATTTCCATTAGATTCTAGGAACTTTTTTATTTCTTCCCTTATTTCTTTGATGACACACTAGTCATTCAGCAGTGTGTTTTTCAGTTTCCATGTGTTTGAATACTTTGTGGTTTCTTTCATTGTTGAGTTCTAGTTTTATTCTATTATGATCTGATATAATATATTGGATCACTTCAATTTTCTTAAGTTCTTTAAGACTTGCTTTGTGTCTTAAAATAAAATCTGTTTTGGAGAAAGTTCCATGAGCTGCTGAAAAGAATGGGTCTTGCCTGGTGGTTGGGTGAAATATTCAGTAGATGTTTATTATGTCTATTTAGTCTAACCTGTATTAGTTCTGAAGTATCTTTGTTGACTTTTTTGCTTGGATGACTATCTATTGATAACAGTGGGGTATTCAGGTCTCCCAC